GTCTCCCACTTCAATGCTTGAAGAACAGAGATGAGTTTTCGTTTCCATTAAGCTTACTATCCTAAAAAAAGCTTTGCTATACCAGGCTGAATTCATATCTAGTCTAGTCTCCAGATTATAACCTTGGTCAACCTATCTCTTGATCTCCTGGGAGTTTCATTAATAGGATAAGAAGGTTATTTGTTCTCTAAATAACTGTCAGTCAAAGCCTTTAGTAATTATAACTGCATAAAAGATACTAGGTTAAATAATTGTTTTAAATAAATTTTCCATTTGGAAAAGGTTGTCTCTTTGGAACAAGTAATTTCTGTAGCAATTTAAGAATATTGTTTTAAACTTTACAAAAACCAGAGCCGTTATCCAAAACATTTGATCTGACGGTTTACAGTCTTTGCACAATCCTCCCTAAACTCAGGCGGGAGACAGATATCCTTCACCTCTCTGTGTAAGGAAGGTAAGCAAAATCATTTCCATAAAGGCTGTATCAAGAATGTTTTGTTAACAATTTTGGAAGCTTTGAGGCAAAATTATTTTAATCCAATCATTAGTGTTCGGCTAATGAAGTGATATAAGAGTCAGAGTCTTGCTTGCTTAATTATTGATTGATTATATAGCAGAGACGGGCAGGGCAGAGACAAACACAAGCCAGGCCTTCTTCAGATACCAGCAGCAAGTCTCAGTCCTTCCCATGTACAGATTTTTATTAATGAATTGATTTAAGCTCAAGTTTCAATTTAACCTTTTGATTATTTGAACTTGGAGTAATCTTTTAATTGCATTTGTTTACTTCATGTGGAAAAGGAATATGTATTTAGATATGTTTATGAATGTGTACACACACACATACACACACACATACACAAACACATGTACACACAGACTTCTCAAGGAGATGGATACTTTTCCAGGATGAGATGGAAAATATTATAAGATATTACAAGAAAATAACTTTTCTTTTCCTCTATGCTACTTCATATCCTGAACTAAATATGGGAAAAACTGACTTTGAGGTGAGTTGTTAAGGAGTATATTGTCTGTAATAAATATAATCTGATTCTGACAATCAGTTATGTTCCTGCTATGATCCAGCAACTTATGATGGCTCTTCTCCATACTAACTGCCACCAGGCTTCTAAGGAGCCATCCTGCAGTGGGGGAAAGGAAAAGAAGAAAATTGTTTGGTGGCAAAAGAGAAGGAGAAGACTAAGAAAGAAGGGGAAGGTAGGAGGAAGGGAGGGGGAGGGGAGGAGAGGGGAGGAAAAACTGGCTGCCCAGGCAAAGAATGATGCAGTGCAAACTTGAGTACATGTCAGGCCTAGCCCAAGGAACTCCTGGAGACCGTGCAGGTTCAATCAACAAGGTTTATTAGCTAGCGCTTGATTACAGAATCTTCTCAGACTGACCAGTAGTTCCCAGG